TTAAATTAATTTAAATTCCTTGAATTAAAATACATTAAAAATATAATAATTTTATTAAAAATATTAAAAAGATAAATCCTTTTATTAAAATTACAATTTTCTAAAAAAGAGTTATCAATATCTAACATTATAATCCTGAATAACCCAAAAATCAAATATTAAAAATCTTATAAGAGCATAATCCTAATAGTCTATAAACCTAACTAACAAAAATCTGAATAGTTCAAAATTCTAATAAGCAAAATCCTAATATATTAGAATTAGAATTATGAAATTAGAGTTTGAGATTAAGATACAGATTAAGGTTAAATTAGATTAGATTATAGTTAAATTAAGGTATAAATTAGAGTTAGTTAGTTAAATATAAAATATAAGATTTATTAAGATATTTGCTTATCAGTATTTACATTTATCAGGTTTTTATGATTGTTGAGATTTTGGTCATATTGGTAATATGAACTTTTAGATATTTGTTAGTATCAGGATTGTAGTTTATCAGAATTATGCTATCAGAATTCTAGACTATAGGATTATAGTTAACAGAATTTCATATTAAATCCTTTAGATCAATCCAAAATATATAAATAAGACAATTCAGATTATTTAACAAGTTAGATTTAATTTGTTAGTTTTGAATAGTTAGTTTTGAAAAAAATATAATATAAAGTATTAACAATGATAATTACATAATTAAATATATCATCATAATCTTTTAATAAAAAATTTTCTTTTATATTTAATAAAATTATGTTTTCATTTATTCTGTATAATATTTGTATAATCTATATATGTATAATATTATGATAGTTTATTAAATTCTTATATTTAAATAAATGTTATATGATTTAGCTTAAAAGTCAACAAATTTATTAAATTTATTATCTTTGATGATAAGTAATAACAATAATTAAGGATATTTCATCAATCATTCAGAAGTTTATGATATAATAAACTAAACCTTTTATCTAAAATATCTATTTTTTTGTGTAATGATATATAAGTATATATTTATAAAAATGCTTTCTATTATAGATAATCTAAAATTTTCTTTTTTATTAATCCATTTGAACATCTAAATAATGTTATTTATTCTTATTTTTCATTTTAGATTAATCAAAGGCATAATTATATAATATTTATTTGATTTTATTCATTATTCTATTATCAAATACGTATGAAAAGATTTATATATAGTAGCTTCTGATTACTTTTTAATAATAACAATTGGATTCATCTATACTAATAAATAAGATGGTTTGTTTAGAAATATATTGATCAGATTTTGATATAGTAAAGAGCAAATCCTTTTCTTTTTAATAAACTGTAAGATGAAACTTAATTTAGATTGAATTTGATTCTAGGAAAGTGTAAGGTTAAGTCTTGATTTAGGATAGTTTTATTTAAGGTATAGATTTTTGATTCATTTTAATATTATATTAATTATTTCAAAAAAAGGGGGGGTTTCTATTGGTAATATAAACGTATATTTTAATGAAGATCTTGTTTATTATCACGTGACAAATAAATGGATTATCCAATAAACTGCCAATTATAATTTTTTATATAATCAATAAATAATTTGTAATTATAAAAAAGGCTACAAGGATACGTGGTATAATTAACTTGATTTTATCTCAATTACATTGAATGCAAAGCGACCTCAAATTATCTGGTTTTGTTGGTATGGTTCTTCTACAGTTAACGCGTGTTACATCGCATTTAACGTCATGGATTACATGTTTTATCGTGTGAAATTGAATTATGAAATATTTTAAGTTTAAAAAAACTAAAATCAAAGAGAAATTTTATGTCGTCTGATTTTTTTTTAAAAAAATTTTTGGGGGGGATTTTTCGATTTAAAAGCTACAGTTGAAATGATTTGTCCTTTAATACCACCAAACGTAAAAGTTGGATATTTTATATGATCAAAATATTCAAATTCTAAAAGAATAAAAGAATAGATCAAAATGAGTCAAAAAGGATAAAATTTTCAAGCGCGAGAAGGAAAATTTTTCTAAACCTACCATCGCTAAATTTGTTAATTAACTCTTCATTAGTAAAGTTACAACTTGTTAACAGAAAGTAACCATTTTGATTTAGCAAGGAATGAACTTTACTTGGATAAATATCTCTTGGATAGTTTCCTTTCTCTTCACGATTTTCATAGGGGGAAAGAGCAATGGCATCAAAAGTACCTTTATCTAAAATTATATCGAATTTTCTCGTCCCGTGTAACCAGAATTCATCATTATCTGTCGTGGATGAATTAATTAAATCGATAACATGATATGATATGAAATTATCAAGATTACGATTTTTTGCGATATCTTTTGCCAATCTAATAGCATTTGGAGAATAATCTATTCCTATTAAATTTGTGAAATTGTTGGAAGCTAATTCTAAGAGAAGATGACCATTTCCGCAACCTATATCAAGGATTGTGGTAGATGAATTTGAAGAATTTTTAAGAACCTAATTATTTCAAAATAATAATAATAATAATAAATATTTAGTGAAATGAAAAAGGAGGATAACGTAAAGAATTTAAAGATTATAATCGTACCCAATCTACCATTTTTTCTACGCTATCTTCTCCAAACCTAATCGAATGAAATTAAATATTTAAATAATCTAATTGACGGATTAATTATCAAGGTATCAAAAAAAATCCACAAATTTAAAAGTTATACAAATACCAAACTTCTCCGATATCGCCATTCTCTTGAAAGTTTTTATTTTCACGGTCATACAATGATTCCCAATATTCTTTTGTACCAAGTTCCGAAGGTTCATATTCGACAAGATTATTTTCTTTGGACATTTTTTATCGTCAGGATCAAAAAAATTATAGATGTTTATTAATGATGTCATATGACTTTCACATGTAATAACGATGAAAAAAAAAATCCCATCTGTCAAAAATTGCATTGATTATGCATCGTACTCAATTGTGACTGGAATTACACGAGATAATTTTGCCCAAAATTGAAAAAAAACAATAACCGATTATAACCTACAATGGAAGAATGGAAGGGAAAGATAGTAAGATTTTCAGCAAATCTCACGTTTACGGAGAATTACATAAGTTAATTCTCTTTCTTACATAAGTGATTATTAATCGGATTCCTGAGAATGTTTCAATGCCACTATCAAACTCTGATCATCAATTCTTTTATAAGAATTTTTTCAGTGTTAGCGAAGCAAAGAACTATTTGATATACCGTTTTTATTATACCCATAAGCCATTTTTCCTTGTAGGTTTAACTATGGGAATTACATATTTTTTTTTAAAACGGTTAATGTTTCTTTTGATATATAATCGAGGTATTTAATGAAAATGAGAAAAAAGTGGGATTGTATGCACAAAGTAAACAATGTTTACTATTATAGTCAAAAAAAACTTCCAAAATTAAATTAAAGTTTCGGGAGAGAAATTCTCTAAATAGGGTTACCCAAGTGGTTGCATTAAGAAATAACTAAATACAGTCGGACCTGATACCGATATTTATAAACTTGATATACCGATAACAATTTATTTTCCCACTATATAAATATCGGAATATTTTGATATAACTATTTTTTTAAAATATTTTCAGATAAGTCCCGACACATCATTATATAATAATGGTTTGACTAGATTGGTAAATTGGTTTAAAAACTCGAGTTTTTTATTTGAAACCATATCATCAAATGGAAAGCAAAAAAAAAAAATTCAAAACAAAGATCCGAACCTTTTCAATGCCAAAAGAAAAATTAAATTAAGAAAAAAGTCTTTTTCCGACCAGGGAGACGAATGATTGGTTTCAAGATGCATCTATTATTGTTTAATGTGTAACGGATGTTCCAGAATAAAATTTCATATGGAGAATTTTCTTGATTATATAATTTGAGAACATAGGTTTCACACTTTATATTTACTTTCACTGCGTCAAAATTTTTTTTTTTTTCAATTTGTTTGCATATCAAGTTAAAGAAGTCTTGTTACAATTTTCGTAAATTGTTTAAAAAACACTTTTTAGCGGGAATATCCGAGTGAAGTCCGAAATTAAAACTTATCATATGACATTTAAATATTTGAAATATTAGAAATTTAGGAAATACAAAAACCCTAAATTTATGATTTAATCATTACTGCGTTGGGTAACAGAAAGTGGCGTTTTTTTAATGGCATGAATGGTGGTTATGCTGGCGTTTGTGTGTGTGTGTGTCATTAGCATTTCTTTCATTTATGCGGTAAATAGGGATCACTTATCTTCAAAAGAATAGAAAATAGAAAATAAAACTTCTTTGTTATAGCAATATTATTAAGATTATTAATTGTAAGAAAAGAAATAGGTGGAGGTAGATTTAACAGAATTGACTTGTTCCATTCTTTGTAAACGATTTAAAGACTTACATTTCGGAATGATTTCTTGCAAAAGATTAAAACTTCTATTTGATTTACAAAAAATATAATTAGAATATTACAATCTCCAGGGGTACACATGACTTTAGCTACCCATGTCATAAAGCCCACAGTCTAATGTATAAAAAAAAGAAGAAACTTTATAAAAAATTTCACCAAACCAAAACAAAAATTCTGTGAATCAAAAATAAGGAATCATGGCTGCATAAATATGATTAAATAAACCAATTTTAACGTAACTTTTTTCTGTGTAAAGTTTTGACGATTGATTATACAAAAAAATACTACAAAATAAAATAAAATAAAAAAAAAAATCTCCTTGGAATTTTTTATTCAAAAATTTTTTTCCCACTCTCTCAACCCTTCTTTAATTTTTTCTTTGTATTCGCTCGTTTTTTTTCCTTATTAATAATCACATAACCCCACTTGTCCTTGACACGTGGTCTTTCCCCTTTTATACTTTGCGCTCGAGATATCAGGTTTAAAATTATACCAAAAAAAAATTTTTTTTAGCTTGCCACCAGCTTCTAGCGAGATATTGACTTTTTTGATTTTTTTTTTCGTTTTAAAAAGTATAATCGACTTAAGTCGATCAATGTCTTTTCATTCCCACGAAGCTGAATATTTAGAAAACCTTCTAGCTTCCACTGGAAACCGGGAAGTCGAAGGTTACATAAATGCCACACCTCAGACAAGCAATGTGCCCCCAGTTTCGTTTCCAAACATAAATTATAATATGGCTTCAGTATTCGCAAACAACGCTTTGTAAGTATCTTTCGTAAAAAAAGCGTTACTTTTTAAATATAGGATTAAGTATTATTAATTCGAATTTACTTTTTGATCTGAAATCCTTTTAGAAGGGGCAATACATCAATGATTTCAAATCAAGATAATTCTCAACAATCATCCAACCATATAACGCACATTCAACCTTCACCTTATGATATAAGCAACATTCCTTCGTCATTGGATCCTTTATTTAATTTAAGCAATTTAAGTAATGTAATAGGAGGTGGTATGGTGAATATCGCACCTGGTAGTGGATCAGGAGTTTCGACAAGTTCTTCTACAAGTTTGCAATCTATGATGCCTCAAGTTTTAGGTCCAATCCCACCACCTCCGGTAACAGGTTTGTAATTAAAATTTGAATTTTGTGACGCGCCAATTTTAAAAAATATACTAAAATTGCTTTCACCTAGCAACTTCAGTAACTGGTGTTACAACAAACTTTCCTGGATTATATTCTAGCACAGGATTCGATATGCTTGGAGTTTTGGTAAGCTTATAATTAACTACCATTAAAAATCTTTTTGCCAAATTATTTGTATATTTATTATGTACCTATACAAAAATTAGGCTCGCGTTGCTTCAAGGTTCGTATTTTTTAACTTGAAATCAAGACAAATAAAATAACAAGAGAAAGAAAGGCTAATTTATAATTTTGGATATTAGGCCAAATCCACAAATAAATATTGGCCCTGTTGATATGAGTTGTTCGTTTTTAGTGGGTATGTTACACAGATACTCGATTATTCAATGCATAGTTCACAAACTTGACCTTATATGGAATTATCTGTTGTCGATTTTTGTAGTTGATGCCCGTAAATATGATTTTCCAATTGTTTATGCCAGTCATACGTTCGAAAAGTTAACTGGGTATTCCAACTCGGAAATTATTGGACGAAATTGTCGATTTTTGCAAGCTCCGGATGGACATGTTGCTCTTGGATCGCGTCGTCGTTATACCGACAATAACGCGGTTTATCATATCAAGAGTCACATGGTCGCCGGAAAAGAATGTCAGGCATCTATTATCAACTACAGGAAAGGCGGACAAGTAAGTTATGCTATGATTTTCTCTATTCTTGTTGATCGATTAATTGATATTCTTGTGGATGATATTTTAGCCATTTATCAATTTGGTAACCGTAATACCTATTACTTGGGATAGCGAAGAAATTGTATATTTTGTTGGCTTCCAAGTGGTATGTGAATATCTATGACAATAATTAATCATTCCACACAATATATAGTAAATAATTTTTCTTGAATTATAAATTTATAACCAAAAAAAAAAATTTTTTATATTTAAATTTTAAAGAAGCTTATAGGAAAAAAAATTTTTTTAAAAAAAAATATATATATATATATATATAAAATAAAAAACATGTATATTCTATCTTTTTTTTTTATATTTATAAAATATTATAATTTACATCAGTTAAATTGGTTAAATTTGATAATTCCTTTTTTTTCCTTTTTTTTTCCTTGATAAGCGAGACATTATTCATAAGCTTCTAACTCATTCATTCAATCAATATGTGCTGTTGTTGCCGATAGATCTAACATTTTCAATATTTAATATGAAGGACTTGGTCGAACAGCCAAATGCGATATTAGAAAAAATGAAGGATGGCACATACGTTGTAAATTATTCTTTGATGAACTTACCTCAATACATTCCTCCAAGTGGTGCGCTTATGGGCGAATCCAATGTCGAAGATTATTTCCGGGACAGCGCTATGCCATTCCCTGCTTCACCTGAAGTATTTGAATTAATTGGGGGAAATGCAGATACCGAAGGTAGCAAACGGATGTGGAATAAGATGTTATTAGAGCATTCAGATGATTTCATTCACGTTTTATCATTAAAAGGCATATTTCTGTATTGTTCACCGAGTTGTAGGAGAATATTAGAGTATGATACAAATGATCTTTTGGGTAGTAGTCTTTCAACAATATGTCATCCAAGTGATATTGTACCCGTTATGAGAGAATTGAAGGAATCTTCAAATGGTGCAGAATCGGTAAATCTTGTTTACCGTATTCGACGTAAAAATTCAGGATATATGTGGTTCGAAGCACATGGTAAATTACATTTAGAACAAGGTAAAGGAAGGAAATGCGTTATACTTTCAGCTCGTGAAAGGCCGGTTTATAAATTACAGTGGAAAGATTTACAAACATTTGGGGGAATATCGGATCAAGAATTTTGGGCAAAATTATCCGTGGATGGATTGTTTTTATATGCATCTTCAACATGCCAAAGTCTATTAAATTTTACATCAGAAGAATTAGTAGGGACTTCATTATATCATTATGTTAGATCTGATCGTACAACTGATATAACAAGAAGTTTAACATTCGCGAGAGATGGAAATGTTCATAGTTTAAAACATCACATCCAAAAAAAAAATGGTCAATCTGTTGAAGTTCTAACAACGTTTTATCCGGGAGATTCTTTCCGTGCAAATAATAAACCATCATTCGTTATTTGTCAAACAAAAGAAGTTGCACCTGAAATTAGACGTCGTTCTATTTCAGTATCACCCGCTCAATCTTCACCTACCTCAGCAGGTTCTCCGGATGGGACTTCCTCAATTTCTTCTGGAGGTTCTACACCATCTCCATCAATACATTTAAGAAATGCATCAATTGAACACCAACCTACTGATAATATCTTCGAAGAATTAGAAGCGACTAGAACTACAAGTTGGCAATACGAATTACATCAAATGAGATTAACGAATAAGAGATTACGTGAAGAAATAGAAGCTATTAAATACTCAAAGAAGAAAAGGGTGATGTACCGCTCATTTAGTTAAATGATGCTTTTTCTTCTTTAATAAAAATGATGTATTAACTCGATCTACTATGATCATTTTCATGTTAATAGAAGAAGCGAAGTGCATCTTCTTCAAACAAGGTATGTCATCATTGTCAACGAAAAGACTCACCCGAATGGCGGAAAGGGCCCGATGGTCCGAAAACTTTATGCAACGCTTGTGGTTTACGTACGTAAATTTGTAATCATATATCATCACTCTTAAATTGTTGGAGTGGTTAGGAAAATAGCTAAGAGGAAATATATAAAGGAAATGTTAAATGATGTAATTGCTATCTGCATGAAAATTATCTTCAACATTCTTTGGGAATGCATTCTAAATATATATAGTAATAACTCAATGAACTTTTGAATAGCTAAGCTAACTTTATATTACGCGGCATTTTTTTTAATTTCTTGAATAGGTTATGCTAAACAAATGAATGCTCAATTTAATGGTCCACGATCACCATCTGTTTCACCAAAATTAAAACATAGCGTGGTATAAAAATTATAAAAATTTACGTTTTTAAAAAAAGAAGCGTTGAATTATGTATAAAGTTTTCTTATTTTGTTGGTACCTTTATAAAGTTATTACTTTTTTTTTCTTTTGCAAACGCTAAAAATTTTTGTATAATAATCAATACCACGCTATCTGGCATAGTCTTATTTTTTTCTTTGTATTATACGTTTCGTTTTATTTGGATTTTTTTTCCATATTTGTGAAGGACTTATATATGTATATAACACATATATTTTAATAATTGAAAATCTTCTAATTTATAATAGTAAAGCCATAAGAGATAATTTATATAGAAAATAAAGAAAAATTTTGTTAATATTTATATAAGAAATGAAAGTGTTCGCTGTAAATTTTATACAATATGATTGGCTAAAATTTATTCCCAAATTTGCATCACATGCATTTGATGCAAATCTTAACTATAGCCTGTTTCAGTATTTACTTGTTACTCGTAGAATTGCAGTTTAGGGTTAAATTAGTCAGAAAAATTTTTAATACATAATAAAAATTATAATAATTTAATCTATCAGTATCAAACACTTTGTTTATCTTTATGCAATATGACACGTGTAGACAACATATTCTTAATTTTTTTGATTCAATTAATCAAAAATTTCAATATGATTGAATACATTTTTTTAGTTGATTCAGTTCAATAAACAGGGTTTATGTATTATTAACTTATGCATCAATTCTATTCAATTTTATACATTAAATTATAAATTATAATTGGTTAATTATAATGCATATCAAAAATTATATCTATCAGAATTGAACAGGCTATAGATGAAAAACGAAACCCAAAAAAAGCAATTAATAAACAGCTGAAATTATATTAAATATAGTGAGAGGTATAATAAAACCCTAAAATCTGAAATTAGCTGAAACTATATTAAAAACATAGTAAGGAATATGATGAAATTATTTTAAAGGAGTTTCTATAGAATAGACCTAACATAATATTATATGTTATCTTTGCCATAGAAAAGGAAAAACTATTAGGAAAAATCAATCAAATTTAGTATTAATTCATTTTTTTATTTTTCTAGCAGTCTTTTTTCTTTCTATTGCAAAGGTAAAATAAATTAGTATAATCATTTAAACAGATAAATCATATGATACATAAAAATATAATATTATTAGTTAGAATTTATGATAATTTAGATTAAAATTATAATAATTAAAGATAGATCTGTCAATTATTAGATTGCAATCAGTTACAAAATCTTAAAAATAAAAACTATAATATAAAAGCTTACAACTAGTTGAGTCGCCGGGGGTTCTTTGATATAATTATATCAAAGAACCCCCGGCGACTTGAGTTAGGTTATGACGGTGATGACA